AAATGACAGTGAGGAATCTGAAAACTGTGAAGCATTACAACTGCAGATAGCAATCATTCAAGTGTTGGGTTGTTCATACTCAACAATCTTTTCTCTGACGAAATTACCCATCCACCCTTACAAACAGACACACCCAAATAATAATTGCCAACCATTTCTTTGTTCATCTTTGTCTCAAATGTACTATACATATTGTGACCAGGCCCAGTTAGAATGACTCACTTGCTTTTGTATTTGTGCATCATGCAGCCATATGGCTGCCATACGTTCTCCCCCAAGTATCGTCCTTTGGAGAGCAGCCATTCACATGAGTCTCCGCCTGAAGGCAAAAAACAGAGAACCCCCCAATAAGACCAAACAAAAAAACACTGCTCTTGCTTTCACTCATAGTTTCTCTGTGACTATGACTAAACCTGCGGTCTCAATAGGACCCTGTCTTTTCATTCAGTGCTGTCAAAAGACTATAATACAATACAGGGCTCAGCTAGGGGCCATAGTAAAAAATAAAGCCATCAGCAACGGAATCAAAGAGACGAAACTAAGGTTCTGGGGGCTGGAGAGATCTGAGGACATGAAGTGTCATCGCCAGGAAAAGCAGATGCTATCAGTGTGTGCACAGTGGTCTGAGTTTCCTATCCTTTTACATGAACAAAGTCCATTCTATGCAAACCAAAGGGGAGGCGTGAGTAAGCCAATAAATATGCATAATAACCAAACCACGGGCTGTCATTAGTCGTAGGGTGTGTGACAAGAACAATGACATCCAACCTGTTGTAATCAATTCAGCAAATACATCTTTATACGACCAAGCCAACGCAAAAATGTTAAGGAACTCAATTTGTTTGCGTTATCACACATCATTACTTACAGGCTTTATCGACGGTTTAGCGTGTGTACCTAACGGAATTGAAAATATATCCTAAAAAGAAACATCCCATTTTGTTAATGGTTAGCTCCATAAACCTACACATGTCTTCTCCAGCAGTAACAAAGTGTGTCCTGACAGGAGCATGTAAACACAGCTAAATGCAGTGTTAGCTTTATCCAGCTAAGCTAACCAGACAAAGCCGATTTAAGTCTTCGCAGCTAAGTGACCAATGGCGAATTAAAGTGTATACATGGCACCATTTATTTGCATTGTCTTAGACTTGTAACCTACATGTCACACCTCTACACGCAACACTGTATAACAGCACTGTACTGACCCGCAAGATAAGTACTCGCAGAAACAAACAGCTAGCTAGCATTAGCATTAGCTGATGTCAAGTGTTTCCCTGTCTCTGCATCAACAGAAACTTTAATAAACCACTTACCTCCATAGTACCGCGAAGCTGTGTGGAACACGATGAGTACACTGACGAGTACCAGCGATATCAATTTGGCATTTTTGATGGTGAAATGTTGATTTATTTCGCGTTTGCCCAGGCTATAGGCCAGGACCGCCATCTTTGCTCCTCCATGACAACAAGCACCTGTGCGAGTTAACAGCGGCGCTCCTCCCTGTGCACCATCTGCCGGGGCTGCGTTCAACAACACCTCCTCCTTATGCTCCATCCCCGCTGGTTAAACCAGGTGCAGATCCAAACAAGTACATAGAGGTCTATAAATTATTGAAATAATCCAACAAACAACTACAGTCGGTTTAGAATATTGTATCGGAGTTTAAATTCTGCAAGAGGAAGAGTTTGAAGTAGTCTTCCTCGTAGGCGGAAGCACTGGTTAGCGGGTGATAGGGAGGATCTTTGGCAAGGGACATGGAAAATATTAACCAATAGGACTGGCGTTACTTGCGGAACCTATTAAGAGTTACAAAGAACAGAGGTGGTAGTTTAGGTATCTTGAACTTAGGTAAAAGTAGGTATGCTATTTTACTTGTAAAAGTCCTGCATTGCAAATGTTACTCAAGTGAAAGCATATCAAAATATACTTAAAGTACCAAAAGTAATAGTCATTATGCTAATTGGCCCAATTTAGAATCATATATTTAGATTATAATAATTAATGCATTAATTTGTTCATCAAAATCAAATCTTGCAAAAGTGCAGCTAGTTTTAATGATGTGTTATGCTGCAGGGTGGCTTGTGAACATTACTCCAGGTGTAAATAAAGTCTTATTTAAGTGTTATAATTAGTCAAATTTGAGAGGTAACTAAAGGTATTAAATTAAAAGTAGTGGAGTAAAAGTACAACATTTACCTCTGAATTGCAGTCGGGTAGAAGTACAAAGTAGCAAAACATTGGAATACTCAAGTACAGTAAGTCTTTAAAGAATGTAATTCAGTTCAGTACTTGAGTAAATGCACTTATTACTTTACACCCCTGACAGTAATGAGTTATATAACCTATGATTTACCACTGAGCAAAGTATAACAGTGTATTGTGTGGTAGAATACGGCAGTGGCTCAGTCAGTAGGGGATTGGACTGTGAGCCGTATAGGGTCGCCGGTTCAAGTCCCCAAACAGACCTAAAAATGGAGTGTGGACTGCTACTTGGAGAGGTCCCAGTTCACCTCCTGCTCTGCCGTGGTGCCCTTGAGCAAGGCACCGGACAACCCCCTCCCCCCCCCACTCCCATTGCTCCCCGGGCGCTGTGCAATAGCTGCCCACTGCTCCTAGTACTAGACTCCTGGTACTAGGATGGGTTAAAAGCAGAGAACACATTTCACTGTGTGTGCTGTGTGCTCTGCATGTGTGACCATTAAAGAGGGTTTCATCCCTCCCAATATTATTATTATTATTATTATTATATAATACAGTTATAGTAGCTAATCTTGCAGCTTGGATGTAGGCTATAATAATAGAAAGCTGTTTCCTAGACTGAGTTCCAGTGCAGTCATTTGAATAACACAAGATGATGGAGATTTTTAAATTGCAGTAGTTGCAGTAGTTTTCAGATATTTTTCCTAGTTCATTGTTTGTTCTTCTTTTTCAATTAGACATTTATTTTTTAAATAAATGTAGTATAATTTAGGTTGTGTCATTACACACAGTGCGTTTATTGTGTTTGAATAGTATTTAGAATTATTTTTAATCCACTGTGTGGCTTGACTGGATTAGTTTACTGTCAATGCAGTTTTTATGTTTAAAAGTTGTACTGTGAAGTCTGAGTGAAAGGCTTTAGATATTCTAGGCTTGGTTCTTTAAAATTGAAAACTTTTCAGGGCTCATGTGTTGTACAATCAGTCATTAATAACCTGTGCTGTTTATATCATCAGCAATGCAGCATAATAATACATAACCTGTAAATTCATCATTCATTAATCATATACAGCCCACTTAACTGACAAATGATTAAATACTCTTTGCTGCCTGAAATGTTTTTCTTCATTTTCACCTGCTTGACTTGACTTTTCACTTAGATGCACACCCATGCAAATAAAGCTGTAAAGAATGTGGTTGTTCTAGTATATTAGGACATTGTCATAACTGAACGTGTTTAGAGTTCGCGAAACACAGTGAGTTAGGTTGCTCGGTTTAACCATTAAACAGGTGCATCTTGTTTCAGAGAATATTGCAGCTGTTGATTTTGGAGCTTTAACTGAGGATGTTTGCCTTGACAGATTTCCAGGACAGTCCCTTGAATTAACACAGCAATCTACTGGATTGAGATTTGTAAATTGCAATAGTTTTAACACTTTTACCTAGAGTTTGATTTCGATAAAACATAACTTTTTTTAATGGGTGGGGTATCATTTCAGTGTGGTCATGTGCTGAAGTTGCTGGGTTGAAGCAAGGAGAGTGCTTGAACTAAACGTGAAAGGCAGTTATCAGTCATGTTTGCATGTATGGGTGTGTGTCACTGTGCACCGAATACCAGCTGGCACAAAAGGAAGAGTTAGCAGGAACTGTTGGATGGTGTTCACCTTTAAATGCCTCATGTGGCTCAAAAGGCTTTCCATCTCGATCACCTGAAAAATAAACAAGACCAGCAAGCACAGAGCATTGAGGTCATCACACTGAGCAAATAGTAAGCAGTAAGCATCTGTATAAGACTGTGGGTGCAGGTCTGAATCGGAAGTGCATTATTTTATTGTACTAGAAGAAATGCAGTGAATACACATTTTTATGAAATTACTATTACTGATTTATTTTTTTATAAATCAAGGTCTTAATTTTCTAGTTGTTTAAGATTGTAATAACTTTGTACATTGGATAACTGGGCAAAGGCAGCATCCATTTGACCCCAGGTTGACTATGGGACAGTTGGTTGTATGTTATTTAATTAGTTGAATATGTGTAAAATAGTGACTATGTTAAGTCCTACATTATTACATCAGCATTGGGACAGTGTCTTGTAGAAGGATCCTGTGGTATGATTTTGTTTGTACTGTGCTCACATGGTGTATATCCGTAAATACGGATACGTTTATTACTGTACAGACAACCTGGGTGCAGTACTCCAACCGGTTGGTCTGGTAGCTACAAAAGAACAATGCAAATATATATCTGCAAAGTAACTTGAGCTGCCTGTCAGACAAATGAGATGACGAGGAAGTGTTAGGTTTAAGGTTAAAGTATCTTAAAATTGTCCTAAAAAGCCAGTAGTTAAGGGCCAAATTGCATTTTTTATTATCATTTGTTGAATCAATTTAATATTGTTTTATGGTAAAAAATATGCTCAGGTATGCATCTTGTGTCAGTGGCATCCGAGTCTTGCTGATCAGTTTACTAAATGTAACACAGATCAGGGATTCTAAAGAAGCCACCATACTGCCCTCTAGTGGTTATAGAAAGTGCTGCAAGTGACTTTTTAAGTATTGGTGCTTCTAATCTACATGTATCTCGGGCTGAACAGAACTATTCCTAATGTACATGTGGAGGTATAAATAAAAGTATTTGTTAAGCTTGCATATCCAAGTTTCCTCAACACACTGAACTCATGCTGACTCTCAGCCTGTGACGAAAGTGAAAAAACATTCATGTCTGCAGTAATGCATGAGCCATGTCCTCATATTGAATCTAATATCCATGTGCATTCATCACTGCAATTCAAGCCTTGATCCAAATCACAGAAATTTATTTGGATGCAAAAGCAAGGAAAAGCAACATCATAGGATGCATATTTACAAGAAACAATGCACGTTAGTAATCACACATTGGCATGGACAGTGTCAACAGAATTGTTCTGTACATTAAAAGTGGATGTACTGTTGAAAAGCAATAAAGAGGGGGAAAGTAAAAAATAATATGGCTGTGCTTCCACAATAGGAAGATGTTTAAATTAATGATGATGTCATCATCAGCCAAACTAGAACCGAAATACAGTGACAAACCTTCAATGGTGTCATTAAAACATGAAAGCACTTAAGTCACTGAGTAGTGTGTTTTGGAACATTGGACATGCTTTATTTCAGAACTTTTCACAATTTATTTAAACATCTCACATATACAAAATAGGTACAATAGACTTTGTGGTTTCATTTTTTAAGAGAGAGAGAGGCTGCCTAAAACCATTCAGAATTGGATGAAATATGTGCTGTCAGTATGAACACTTGGTGTGGGGATTGAAGAGTAAAAAAGCCTGAACAAAAACCAAAACAAAAAAAAAAACCTTCTTGACAAAACAAAAAAGAACAAAAACAAACAAAAACCAGACATTAGATTTAGGAACATTCCACCTGCTTAAAATGGGGGAGTATCAGGAGACCAATGCAAGACTCCTCAAATGTCAATACAAAGTAATACAGTAAAAAGTGGTTTGCTCCGCAGCTGCATATTAGCACCATAGATCTCTGCTTCAAGTAACTGAGCACCTTCCGAAACAGGACAAAGCTTGAAGCATTGAAGCCTTAACATCTCGGTTGTGGACCCAGCTTTTGTCAAAAGTATTTTCTTTGAGTACAGGCATGAGGTAGCTTAAACCTTTTTTTCATGGAAATTGTGGTTTTAAACCTCCTCTTTGGAAGATATACAAAGACCACAAATTGATGCATACTTTCAGCGTCTTTATTACACTTTTTTTATTTTTTACAAAAGGATGACATGATGTCTCACAACAAGTTGTTTTCCCGCGTCCCTTTGGGTTGCTGTATTAATTTGCATTGCACAAACGCTCAATTCAGTCCGTTCAGTCCTCTCAGATAGTTGCTCATCTTAAGCAAGTGGATGTGCAGGGGGAAATCAGCATTCAGTATAAAAAAAAACAACACAGAAAGATGGGCAAAGATTTTGTTTTTTCGTTCTTTCTCTCTTTTTGGTGTTTAATTTATCATGAGTCTATTTATTTGAAACAAACTGGGCCAATGTCCAAACCAAACTCCTGATCAGCTCCACCAATGTCCAAAGGTGCAATGTCGACGAAGGGGAGGCGAGATGGTTTATTTGTTCTGTACTCAATCACTGCCTTGCTCCATTCACCAGTGTGTCTCTGCAGGTGTAAAGGAGGAGAGAGTCGTTTAGAATAATGGCAAAATGCTTTTAAGGCATCAAAATAGCAGAATTATGATCAGAATCATTTCTATCTCATGTATAAGGATAACACTTAAGTGATGAGAAGACCAAAGAGCTACTCACAGTGCAGCCATCCTCCAGCACGGAGAAGGTGAAGCGGCTGTTGCCCTCGGCTCTCAGCTCCACATCGTTGGATCCCTGGAGAACCACAGCCTTCTTCAGGTTACCGGTCTCCTCACTCATGTAGGCATTGCTGTTCTTGCAGTGGTAGGTGATGTTCTGGCTAGCCTGGTTGGACAGAAGGCGCATGAAGGCAAGCTGGGTGGCCATGCTCTGGGGGCTGAGGGTCGCATCATTGTAGGTGAACTGCAAGGAGGAAAGAATGACAGTCAACATTTTGGATAGTCAGTATTGTGTTACTGTGCTTATGTGCTATTTAAACCCCATATATTTCAGAAAAAGCCGAGTATGTCTCTTGTCTGTAGCTCTCACCTCAGTACCACCGTTGATGGTCTCTCCGAACCAGACGTGCTTCTTGGTCTCGGAGCTTCTGAACCAGTTCTTGCGGGCAATGCTTCCGGGATGGGCATGGATGCAGGTCTCGCGGGTGTCGAAGTTGCAGAAGACCTTGATGGCATCACTGATGCATCCCTGGTTGGGGTCAATGTAGTAGAATCCTACAGGGTAGACAAGTAGAGTCAAATCGATGGAAAGAGAGCATTTAAAGGCTCCAAAAGACATCTAAACATTACTGAATGAAGCGGTATATTCGCCACATGGTGCTGTCAGATTATTGAGCTTACCGCTGCTCCACTCGGGGTGGCTGAGCTTGATGTCACGGCAGGTGCGGGCAGGGTTCTTCCTGGATCCCTCGGGGGTGAGCATGTTCTCGATCTGGGAGTTGAGGGACTTGATGGTGGCATCGACCTCGTAGTCCTTGGCTCTCAGAGAGGGCTGGTCAGCTCTGTACTCATCATATCCACCAGAGACCTCATATCCACCACCAGCGGGGCCGGCAGGTCCGGGCATACCGGCAGAGCCGGGAGGACCCTGATATGGATAGGAGGGTGGATTTATATGTAGATAAAAGTTGCATTTGGATCTTTTGCTGAGGACCCTGGAAAGTTCAATGGTGCTTAAGTGTTACAAGACTCTATATGTGCTTACAGCAGGTCCAACGTATCCAGGGGGTCCACGAGCACCAGGAGATCCAAGAGTTCCATGGCCGCCGGCTCTACCATCCTTACCAGAGGGTCCGTTGGGTCCAGCAGGTCCCTGAGAAGGAGATCATCATATGACACAGTCAAAAATGTGTCTTTTTTTGGAAATCTTGATTTTTATATGATTGTATATCTCCTGCTTAAGATATCATCATCATTAGCTCTGAATGCAGTTCATAATATTGCAATGAACACTCCTTTAGACTGAACTTAAATAACTCCACTAAATTCCATATAAGCACAGGACTTGGGTCTATGGATACAGGTGTAACAAGAAAACCACTGCTGTATTGGTTAATAGGTTGCCACTCACTCTGGGTCCAGCAGCGCCGTTAGCTCCATGAGATCCAGAGTCACCAGATGGTCCCTGAGGGGAGAGAAAGTACATCATTAAATGAAATCGCAGTTCGGATGGTAGATTAGGTGATATCAGCAGATCAAGCTGGATGTTTCCATATTTTGTGGGCCTCATGAAGGTGGGCAGTCACTCACAGAAGGTCCGGGCATTCCCTGGAGACCAGCATGTCCACGCAGACCCTTCATGCCTCTCTCTCCATTCTCTCCAGCACCTCCCTTCTCACCACGGGTTCCAGCACCTCCCTATGCATATACATAAAAACATGTTACACGGGTGTACTTTAGTTAATGAACACAGTTCTGTTTTACTCCTAAATGTGTTTATTGTAGATTTACTTACAGCGGCACCTCTAGCTCCAGCGGTACCAACAGCTCCAGAGGGACCTGATGGGCCCTAAATACAAGAGAAAAAGGTGAAGTGATGAAATCTATTTAAAGGTTGGGTATCCCACAAATGTTGCAACTTGAAAGGGTTGCTGGATGTACTTACACCCTCTCCACGGTTTCCAGCTCCGCCAGCAGCTCCACTAGGTCCAGCAGGTCCGGGGGAACCAGAAAGTCCCGATGGACCACCAGATCCAGGCTCACCACGGTTTCCCTAAACAAGGTGGAAAAATATAGATTTGAGTACAGCGTACATGTACATGTATGTTTAGTCTCTAAGCAAACAGGCTATAAGGTTTGTGAATGGATTGTACCTTGAATCCAGCAACACCAGGACGGCCAGGGGGTCCATCGTTACCAGAGTTACCCTGTAGATAGCAAAGAATATTGCAGTTAGCATAACACGTTTTTATGTTAGTATCAGGTATCATGTTAAGTAGTGGTGAGTTCATGTTTTTGTACAACTACTTTGTTCCTATTATTAGCCTGTACAATCCTTACCTCACGTCCAGCCTCTCCCTGGGCTCCAGTCATACCGGGCATGCCATTGTTTCCAGAGGGGCCACGGGCTCCAGAGGGACCAGCAGGTCCAACTCCACCAGGCGCTCCCTGTGATTGGATGCAGAGAAAACCAATGAATCAAATACAATTAAAGGCTGATACAGTATGGGATTTAGTGTGTATGCAATGCACGTTTTACAATCAATGTGTTCTTTCAAACCATCCTGCAATATTGGCATTGGGACTATCGACCAAGTTGTGTGGTATTTAAGATGCATTCAAATCTTGCATGCAAGTCAATCACATTTTTTTTAATTCCATATGCACAAAGCCACAATCAGGAGAAATCAGAATCCTGTATAAGTTTTACTTACAAGACCACCAGGACCACCAGGTAAACCATGTTCTCCTCTAGAACCAGGCAGACCAAGGAATCCTTTAGCTCCATGAAGACCACCGCCTCCAGAATTACCAGGAGCACCCTAAACACAAGCAGGACAAGTGTTACTTTAATGATATGGATATAAACTTAATTACATTTATTTATGAGGCTGTTCTTGTTTCCCACCAACAGCTATAACTTACAGGGGGGCCAGATTCTCCAGAGGGTCCCTTCTCTCCAGACACACCAGAGGGTCCAACCATACCCTGCTCTCCAGAAGGACCAGAGGGTCCAGAATCTCCACGGAGACCACGAGGACCATCCTTACCAGCGGGACCAGCGGAGCCAGGGGGGCCGACAATACCCTGAGAGGAAAAGAGGAGGAGAAGGTGTTCATGTTCATTGTGATCGCTCTGTTTCACTGATAGAAAAAGCAGAATGATTTTCGGATGAATTGAAAATGTAATTTAATGTAAGAGCAATACTCACAGCGGGACCAGCAGCACCAACTCTGCCAGCAGCTCCAGGGAAACCAGTCAGACCCTGACATCACACACACCATCAAAGGTTACACAGTGGTCATCATGAATGTGTGGTGGATCAGTTTGTGTCTATCTATGTGTGTGTGAGTAGACATCATAAGAGTAGAATATTGGTCTTTCTAGGCTTAGATTACAAATAATTAAAAGAAGACAAACCCTTTTCAATTTGACATTTGAAATGTTTACATTTTGAAAAAGTAGTACTGCTGCAGCTGTGTCGTAAACATTTTACAAAATCTTCTCTCTTGACATGGGAAATGAGTAAATTGGCTCTTTTCAGTTTCCGATGTTGACTTCCACTCACTACATGGGCTGGAGGCCTTTACTTGAATTAAGATGGCCAATGAAGCCAAATACACTTGTAAAGTCAAAGTGAGCAGGTGCTTCAATCTGTGTTAAGTATTCTGTCATGTCAGTCTGTCTTTTCAGTGCCTTTAGGTGTAATCAGGTGTAATTATTTTGTATTTCTTTATGTTTCAATACTCACATTGGGTCCGTTTTCTCCACGGCCACCATTAGGTCCAGCAGGGCCAGAAGGACCCTAGATAAACAAAAGAAGAAATACATTCCATATTAGCATAATTTCATCTGAGTTTGTGAATGATTAATATGTATGTCCAGTGAATCTGTACTAACAGCAGGTCCAGACTGTCCAGCGGGTCCAGAAGGTCCGGCGCCGCCAGTTTCTCCCTTAACTCCACCAGGTCCACGCTCTCCTCTTACTCCGGTCTGACCGTCAGAGCCCTATACACAGGAAGAGCATTGTGGCTGGGTCAATATCTGGGTAATTGAATGTGTGGGTATGCACTTGTGTCATAAAGTAAAATATGTTTTGAAAGGTGAATGGCTGCCGGCTTACAGGGGGTCCAGCGAATCCGGGGGCTCCGGAGGGTCCAACCTCTCCACGCTCTCCCTGTGGACAACAAGCTATGAGTTAGAAAGACCGTTTATTCTGCACATTAAAAAGTCGTATGTAGAGTTTAGATCTCCATCTGATATTTATGCCAACGGGTAAAATGTTTGTTATAATGAATGAATTCAGCCACAGCTACTCACAGAACCTCCACGAGCTCCAGCGGGTCCAGAAGGTCCGAATCCACCGCTCTCACCCTGGAGGAGAAGAAAATAGTGTTTCATTAGCTTAGCATTGTTTAAATCATTCATCCATTTATTATCACCCATCCATAAATGAACAGAATAAAATAGTTTCAAACGTACTGACTTGACTTTGTACCTTGTCGATAAAAGCCAATTAGCTTTGATTTGAGAACTTGATAAACTGATATTAATGCTAGTAAATCGTTTGGCTTACCTTACTCAAGGCAACACAATACACATTTAGTCTCACTGTTTCCGTTGATTTCCTGTCTACACAAAATACCGATGCCAAAATACAGTCAAGAGTAAGGAAAATGGCACTGCATTGGTAACCTTCAATATTTTAAATGTAAAGATGTGCATTAGTCTGCTAGAGCTGAACAATTAATTGGTGTTTTAGAAAACCTAAATATGGACTGGTGCAATATGCAAATCGCCAGAGGCACAATATTTGTTAAAGGGTAAATATGTGTCAAAATGCCTTTCTAAATAAAGTATTGCAATGCTACAAATCGCTTCTATAGACTTTGGAAAAAATTAAACGTTTGATACAATTTGTGAAAGGTCAAACTTTCCAATTACATGAGAATGAAAAATGTAGGGAAGATAATTCCCACAAATATCAGGAATCATATCGCAATTGAAATATCAAATAATAAAATAGCAATCATATATTTTTTCGGAATAGTTCAGCACTATCATCAGCACAGCTATGCTAAAAGGGTTGCAGTTGACCCTTTGCTTTAATGATATCAAACATCCAACAGGTGGCAGTGTTGAGGTTCTAGCCTTAGATACAATGCTACAGAGGAATGGGGCGTGGGGGGGTGGGGGGGAAGTGGGATGTTCAAAGATATGGATTTGGCATGGTCAGCCAAGAGATTATTTCTGAAAGTGATTTGATCTTAACAGCAAGTCTTGATGGTTTTCTTCTGTTGGTCACTTTCACGATACTCTGTCAGCCATCTTGAATAACGTTGCATGCAGCCATTTTTATTTATTGTAATGAGGCTCTGTGACATTAATTACGCTGTGTAAACTTTGTTCAACCCAAACAACTTAATTCTAACTTTTATTGTTGCCATTGTTTGTTTTTGGTTTTCAAATATCCTCACATCACCAACTTACCTTATCACCATTGGCTCCAGTGGGTCCAGGGGGACCAGCGGGTCCAGCCATACCCTGGAAAGAGACAGGAGAAGACAATAAGAACAAGGCTCTGGTTTATACATGTAAAGTGTTTGGCTACCATTTTTACATCAAGTGCCTCAAGAAGAGTTAGAGATTTGAACTTACACGGCTACCATCTCTGCCGGAGTTTCCTTCAAGGCCTCCGTGTCCACCCTCTCCCTATAGTAGAGAAAATACATGGGAATGATATACATACATTCTCATCAACAAGTTATTTTGAGGGCTAAAATCCCACTCTTTTTTGCAGGTTATAGATTTTTGGAATTTACCTTCTCTCCCTTGCCTCCAGGTCCACCAGCGCCTCCACGCTCTCCGGGCATGCCACCAGATCCTTGGTTTCCGGGTGCACCAGCAGCTCCAACAGCACCAAGCTCTCCCTGAAAACAGACATGACAAATTATGGTATATATTTTACTCAGCATGAATCTGATATAATTCAACTTTGCTACCATTTCTGCGCTAATCATTTTCATGCTTAACTTTGCTTCTTAAAGCAGTGCTATCCGCTTACCTTTCCACCATCAGTTCCGGGGGCTCCAGAAGGTCCGCGGGCTCCCAATGGTCCCTGAGCTCCGGTTTGTCCAGCAGCACCAGGGTTACCACGCTCTCCCTGGAGGAAGAGTGAGTCAGTGCATTGTCTTTTTATATATCTGAAGCTAATTGTTGCTGATTTGGTTCAGGCAAAAAAGACTGAGAACAGCTCTGGTTTTGAAAGGCTCTGTAGTAATAATGACATGGATATGTGAACGCACCTTGGCACCTCCAGGTCCAGCAAGTCCCTGGTCTCCGTGGATACCCTGTAGAGAAATTAATGATGGGTTAGAAATATACTTTTATTACATTATTTCTATGGTTTGATGTGTAACATGCTGGAAGTGTGTTTGTGTGTTACTTACTCTCTCGCCGGACTTGCCAGCACCTCCAGCACCTCCAGCGGGGCCGGGCAGACCCTGAACACATCAGACAAAACATCAGGACCAATCTACAATTTAAGTGATATATCGCATGTATCCTAGAGCTGCAAGGTTGAATGAATCACTGAAAGTTAATCACCAACTGCTTTAATAATCATTCAATCGGTTTGATGAATTTTTGAGAAAAGAAAGTTCAATTCTCAGATTTCAGCTTATTAAATATAAATATCTTTCTTTACTCCTCTATGACACTGAACTCAATATCAGTGAATTGTTGACTAAACAATACATTTGAGGATGTCATCTTGGTCTTTTAAAAACAATGATTTTTCAATTTCTAACATTTTGTAAACTAATCGCATTATAATCCATACATTAGGCGACAATACAAATAATTGATAACAGCTCACCTATCACCTATAGATACTAAGACAACATTTAATTTGACTGAATTTGCTCTGATGAGGGCCTTTCTTTCATTTCTTTGACATTTCCTTAGCTAAGTTTACAATGAGCAGGGAATAGGATCAGAGGATGGATCCGAACCTGGAAACCAGGAGATCCAGAAGGTCCCTGCTCTCCCTTGTCACCAGGACCGCCCTGCAACAAGAAAGAGAGTCACATTTTAAAAACAGCACACAGATAGTAACAAAATCACATTATAAAGGTTATACATAAAGAGGAAACTGCCTGTCAATGAGGGTGATATTCTGTATTCAAGGATACTTACAGCAGGTCCAGAAGCACCAGAAGCTCCATTGTTGCCATCAGCTCCAGGGCCACCCTACACAGGAACATAATGACATGTTTTAACAACTGACAATGGAGCTGACAGGTTTAAGGGTTTTTAACATAATAAAACACCTGCTAGGTCTTTTTTTGTACTTACTCTCAGTCCAGTGGGGCCATTAGATCCCTTATCTCCGGGCTTTCCACCATCTCCCTAAAAAAGATAGGATGTAGGTTAAGCACAGGTTATGATAAACCAAAAAACTAAATAAAGGATACTCATCTTCCATTCTTAGCTTTATTTCTACTTACAGAAAGTCCTTTGGGTCCGGGGAAACCGATGTTTCCAGGCTGTCCTCTGGGTCCGGTAGGGCCGTTAGGTCCAACACGGCCATCTTGTCCAGCGGGACCCTGGAAGAGGAAACAGAAAGGACAGAAGAAGGTCATTTTAATTGCATTTATAGAGGCAAATATCTTCATTAACAACATAGAATTAAACTAATGGAAATGTGGTGTCCCAAAATGTTGGTGGATCATTAATAATAAATGTACAAGGTTCAGTGTGAAATTCAGATTTACTTACAGAAGGTCCTTCCTTTCCTGGGGGTCCGGAGCTTCCGGAGCTTCCTGGGAAACCCTGTTAGAAATACACATCAGTCATTAGGTTGTATGTATTATCATACGTTAGTACTGACCCCTTGGGCTCACTACCTTTTAACAAAATATTGTGTTTTATAATGCACACAAGGCAAATTTACATCAAACAACAGCCTTGTACTGAAGCCATAACATCCATTCTGCTACACACTGTTACATCTCAGCTCCAATTAGCCCAAAACCTATTCCTAATTGAAACTACGGCTAACATAGAGAGCAAAAGACTCACTCTGAGACCAGCTGGGCCAGTCTCACCGGCGCGGCCAGCATCTCCGGGGGCTCCACGGGGTCCACCATTACCAGTAGCACCACGGGCACCGGGCATGCCCTACAAACAAGAAACAAGGAGGTCCAAGATAAATGAGGAGAACGTTTCATAAACGTACCTTAAAAGTAAAACTTTATATTTGTATTGTGCATGTTGGTGGAGTGAGATTTGTTAATCGAACACTTACAATGGGGCCGGTTCTTCCCTCACTACCTCCCATACCACGGCTGCCAGAAGAGCCCTGTAGGAGACACACAGACATTAGCCGATGATCCATGAGACTGTGAATATGGAATCAAACGGGTGCAACACCCCCCATCGGGGACAGAGGTGTGGTACTCACTCTAGCTCCACGGCCTCCAGCAGGTCCAGTAGCACCGAGTTCACCAGTGGGTCCTTTCTTGCCCTCCTCACCCTGAGGTCCGGGGCCTCCCTGAGGTCCAGATTGACCCTGAGGAAAGCAACAGAGAAGTTTAAGGACAATGCAGTGTTCAGAAGTCTTCAGATTCGGATGGGGTGAATTGAAAACCAAAGATGATGAGGATGGTGTGAACTTACAGGCTCTCCTTTGGGTCCGCCATCTCCCTTGATACCCTGAATACCAGGTTCTCCCTGAAACAAACAAACAGAGGCAATTAATACAATAATCAATCAGCTGTGCAGAATGAGTGATTATATGTGTCTGTAGGCATTGTTAGTTCATCTGCATGCTTTCAAGTGAATTTGTATGTTTTTCTGAATGTTTGTGTGATGGTTGGTTGTGTACTTACAGCAAGACCTCTCTGTCCAGCAGGACCCTGAGGGCCCTGGGGTCCGGGTCCTGCTCTTGGTCCGGGGAAGCCAGGAGCTCCAGAAACACCAGGGGCGCCCTAAACACACCATGACAGACAGATGAGCATCACTCAGCCCTAAAACACTATCTTTATGTTATCTCTTCCACATGTGTAGGTTATTTGCCCTATATCATCATATACATTATATAATAATAGAGATTATCTTTGATTATAAAATACAAAAATAATAATGTGTCAGTAATTTAAATAAATGTTGTGCTTTAAACAACATCATTATTTATGTTTAATGAGTACAGCATGGCAAAAGCCTAATGGTTGTAACCTCTGTGTGACCCTAAACAACCTTTGACATTTGTATGATCTCATAATACAACATTAATACTTACAGCAGGTCCCTTGGCTCCGTTCAGGCCATTAACACCAGGGTTTCCCTATGGGGAAAAAAACAGGAAATTAGTGGATAATATCAAAACAAATGGAACATTTTAACTTGAAAATCAAATATTACTAATATATTAAATATATTAATATTTAAAATGTGATAAAACCACATAAAGATTCTACAGTAACTGTTCCATAATGTACTAACTTTACAAACTCAACAAAGTGACAAATACATGGAGAGCAATAGCAAATGCTTCCAAAGGAAAATCAATGCAAATCATTCAATCATGATAAAGGCTAATTGTCAGCATTCATATTCCATGTTTTGTAATTGTCAATGTAGTTTGGAACAAAACAAAAATCAAGAAAAAATCCAGAAGTAAATTAAATACATGTTTTTTGATATAAGTTCTACAGGATGGACACTTGGGAGTGTCTATAGACTCCTTGAATACTTACAGCAGGTCCGAGGGGGCCAACAGCGCCATTGGGGCCGGGCTCTCCTCTTGATCCCTGAGTTCCAGATGGGCCATTAGAACCACCAGGTCCGAGCTCTCCCTGTCAAAGACAAAAATACATCCATGATCAATTAATTAAATCATAATAATGGTATTTCTTAAGGATGTGTCGATATTTGTTTGAATGATGTTTTCTATAGGTTACATGTATGAACTATTCCCATGGGGATAGTATATAGGAAGCCATTTTGGATGGTGAACATTGAAAGACTCTTATACTGTATGTTAATGAGAATTGTCTTCTTTATTGGGCCTAAACGTGAATCTCTCTGTGAGCATGTGTTGCCAAACGACAAGAAGTTCGCCCTTACCTTGGGTCCGGGGCCACCGGGGAAACCTGGGGGACCAGCAGATCCGAGGGGACCCTGTGAGGAATAGCAAAGGAGACATTAAGTAACGCAGGTCAAAGCTCACATTCTGCTCAAAGTTTGTCTAATATGGGTGCAACTATGTATATAATCAACATTTAGTGGCATAATCCCCTGATATAATACTACACATCATTATATTTCCATTTGGATATAGATAGGATGGATATGTATCTTGATCTGAATATTCAAAAAATATACTGATTTTACAGTAACTGAAGATTTAAAGGGCCAATACTCACAGCAGGGCCAGAGGGTCCAAGATTGCCATCAGCACCACGAGAACCAGTAGGTCCAGCAGGGCCGGCACGGCCTCTCTCACCAGACATACCACGAGATCCCTGAAGGGAGGATACAACACATATTGATGAGAAAAGGCTGCAAAGACAAATTGGTGCTTTATGATTTAGTAAAGATTTAGTAAATAGGAAACTTGATCAAAAACGTACAGCCAGTCCAGCACTTCCAGAAGCTCCGTGGGCACCATGCTCTCCCTATAGGAGAAACAGAAGAAGGTGGATTGACAAAACATTTACAATGCTAAACAACATTTTTGTAGATGTAGGTGTATATTTTCTTTTTGCTTCTATATTGTTGGAATGACATTCTAAGAGCTCATTAATGTTATTTGTTGCTGCTTTGATGAGGAAGGTGCCTTCCTTACCTTGGCACCAGCACCGCCATTCTCTCCCTTGCGTCCATCCAGACCAGTGTAACCCTGTCACACAAAAAGAGAATGAAGATGAATATATGGACTAACACATGAAAGGCTGTGGGGTCATATGCAGGGTTAATTACAGTGTAGGTGTAATACAGTGCAATAATGTATTTATTTACCAGTTCTACTTTTGGTTCTACTTCAGAAACAAGCAGGTAAACAAAAGAGCTTCTAGACCACGTTATCAAAAGAATATGTTTCCGGGATAAACAAGACATATGCTTTTTAGAGCTCTCGAAAGAAAACATACTGTCTTGCCAAAAACACATCCACATGACAGGAAGTTCACTACCTGGCTATAGACATTGTCATGGGATAGGGAAACTAAAAATCTTAAATAGTAGCAATGAAGCTCTGTATTGAATCTACTACTAGCTCGTCGGGAGCTAGTAAAAAGGGAGTACGGTCCATGATCATTCCCAGCATAATATGTAAGTCCACACAGCACAGGGGAAGCTCTTCTGCCATTTTGTCCTCTATTGGGGCTTTTTCGGTTGCTCTATTTAAATCCAATGGACACTCACTCTGTGTCCCTTCATTCCTGGAAGTCCAGGAGTTCCGGGGAATCCACGAGCTCCCTGCAATTCAAAATGAAGAAAATATTACTCCATATTTACACTCCACATGTCTATCTTATATCTGTTTGTATTTCTTATTCCCTGTTTCGGGGGAACATCTCTTACCTGTGGGCCGGAGGTACCTCTGTCTCCGGGCTTGCCAGGTCTGCCATTGTTACCCTGTGAGCGAGCAAATAAAATGTGATGTGATTAGATGACTTTTCGGCTGCAAGAATATAGACAACTCAAACCTATTATAGGACAGTAGGCAAATTCTAAGTTATACAACACTTTTAAACAAAAGTAGCCTTTTGAAAAGTGCTGGTAGAAACATGAATAAATACGTACGTCCTCTCCAGATTTGCCAATGGATCCAGTGGGGCCACGAGCACCAAGAACGCCCTAGAGAAAAAACAAAACATTATGGTGGCATCATTTGATTGAGTGATTCTGACAAGGAATGGTTCCCAAAAGCAAACACATGATAATTTGTAGAGTTGGGAATATTTCAGAGGATAATCTTACAGTCTGTCCGGGCTCTCCGGGCTCACCAGGGTGTCCGGTGTGTCCCTGAGCTCCCTGTTGAACGATAAGAGGAAATTAATCTTCATATGAACAACATGGCACATTGAGCTTGTGGGTATGAGCAATTGTTCGATCAAAACAATACACAGTTTAAATTTGCAGCAGCTGTGTGTACTTACAGGGGGTCCAGAAGATCCAGGGGGACCTCCGGGGCCCGGTGGACCCTGAAAAAGAGAAATAGGGTATTTATATAATTTCATAACATTACCTTAATCAACGCTGTTGCACTTTGTCATGAGTGTAAACGCAACTGTATCAGGACAGGAATACATTGTGAGGTATAAGTATCTTACCAAAGATTATTCATATCTATGTGTATGATGTAGGGGTACCAATAACAATAACAAACAGCACAGGTGCAGTGAGGTCTGTGGCTCATTGAATAAAAGTAGATTAATACTGCTGTGTGGCAAAAAGAGCGGGACCCTCACCGTGGGTCCGGGGCCGGCATCGGGACCTTTTGAACCATCATACTGAGCAGCAAAGTTCTGAAAATCAGAAAAAAACACATATTTAATATCAAATAATAAAACATTTATTAAGACCTAATACATAACACTGGCCACTTTTGTCCTAAATTAATAAGGAGGAATGGTTCCTGCTGATAACAACGATCATGCATTTGGCATTTCACAATAATCAGCCATTAAAAACCCTTATGTAAGATTAAAAAATCTATACTATCCGGGAGATTATTTAGAATGTGCGCTTGTTTGCTCAAATAAAAGGGATTATCCTAACTAATCTAGGGTTTGTATATGAAAGAAAATATATTAAAATAACACTTATAGTAGCCTGTTGTGTGTTCAACATATGGGTAAAGGACACAAGGTCACAGGATTATGGCATCTCTAATAAGATATACAATACTTCTCCAATTCAACATCAAAACAACAGAGCAAGGGGTGCATTATTATTGTTATTGCCTGCAGACAACAATGAGCTGAATGTGGGTCAAATTCACTCATCAAAGAGCCATGTTTTAATGCTTTTTGCATCACCAGGAATAATGGAAGTCAGATCCCAGCCAGTACTGCATTATCATCATCATCGTTTTTTTGAACCACTTTTGACATTTACACTTTGACATTTTACGCGTGTAATCATTGAACTTACTCCTCCTAGTCCAGGGGGACCAGCGGGGCCCTCGGGGCCAGGGAGTCCAGGTTGGCCGTCTCTTCCATTTGGGCCTTGAGGACCCTGTAAAACACAAATGATATGGTGAGAAAACACTGTTACTGAATTAACAGGAGCTGGTAGGATGGTTCCTTGTTATTCTTGGAATAGTCTACTTCATAAATAAACAGAAACATGAGATAAATAACTAAAAAAGTTAACCAGTTGTAAAGCAAATTATGGTATTACAAGGTATAATAAGAAGACGTAATTGGGGGAATTACGTAAAAACCTTTCTTATGAAATAAATGTGATCAATATTTAACTAAAACCTCTGATAACCATTTACTTCACTGTCATTGGGTGTAAACACTATGACCTATGGGTGATGTAACAAAGGGGTGTGGCCTACTGAGGTTAGAAGGTCAAATCACGTCAACAATTACAGTGCCAAAGATGCATCCAAAATGTGCCACGTTAGATGCTTAAATTACATATTTGATAACAGTTGTTTGATCAAAGGAAGCATAGTCAAACGTCATCTTACCCTGTCACCATGAGGTCCTTTCTCTCCTGTAGGACCCTGCAGAAGAAAAATCAATCAGTCAGACCAAAACACCAACAGATGTCTCGGCTCGCTGCTTTAGCAACGTGTCAGCTCTTGTATACTCCTATAGCAAAGCAGGCCTCTGATTTTAACTACGCTCAATGTGGCTTAGAGCAAATAAAAAACAGTTATTAGTCATATTCAAACAATATGGTGGATGATAATATCAATAACATGTGCATGTAAACACACTTGACCTTATAGGGTAAGGGCAAGCAAGTTTAAAGACATTTCCGTGATAAGGCAAAGTTGCCCTTTGACCTTATTGTGGTGCCACATTGTAGGTGATATAGGACACATGTGCTAACCTTGACACTGCCCTAAAAAATTAAAAGAATATAAATAAATGTAAGATTTATTTATTTCATGCCATTTAACATATAGGCTATATCCAGTTATCTTATCTGTTGCATTAGCAATAGGATGAGTGGCCATTTTGAGAAACGGCTAAGCATGCAATAAAGGATGAAATTCTGTCACAAGGATATATAATACAGGATATAGGAACACAATGAAAACACAGCAGAGGAAGGTACATGTGATAGCAATGATCAACATGTGCACAGAGATGCTAAAGGAAGGTCATTAACCAGATACAACAACCTCTTAGAAGTAAGAGCATGTTCATCCATGGAACAAATACATGTTCTGAATGCTACCAGAACCACACAGTGCACACTGCAGCTTTAAAAAAGTTTAAAGGCTGCAAACAGCAGGGTGATTTAGGCAATCTCAATTATAATCAGAATCTTTATAAACAAACCATCTTAAGGTTCATGTTTGTCTTACGTTAGAGGGGGGGATTGTGTCAATCTTTCACAATCTGATAGCAATTCAATTTTTTTCTTTGATGTATCTCAGCTGAAGATCTCACTAGTCACAACTTATCTGAGTTCAGCTTTCAAATCCTAACCAAGAAGCAGAGGAGGACTACAAACTGATCCAAGGCCAGCTGTTAGGGGGGCAAACCTTCCTCTGCCCCTCAGAAAGGATCCTTTGTACCAGGCCCCAAGGGTGCCTCAGAGCTGCGGTTTTAGCTTTCATTGACACAAGCTTTAGCCAATAGGACCCTCACCTATTCATGGACAGGAAGGGAGAAAACTGCAAGAAATAATTTGGTTGAGGGGCAGAGATTCTTAAATGAAATGCTCCGCCAGCCATGAGATTGCTCAAATGGACCAACCGAGAAGTCTTCCTTTCTGGGACTATTTAACAGCTTTTGGAAGGAAAAAGATGGCAAGGCAAGACAAGGTAAAGCTATCTTTAAGGAAATATTGCTTTCATGATTTCATGAATGTGTACTAACCGCTGTGATGTTGGAGAGATGAGGAGGAGGAGGTTGGAGAAGGGGTGGGTGGGAAGAGAAGAGGGAATACTCAGTTAGCATTTTGACAGCAAAACAGTCACTTAAAAAAGAAACAATGACATTTACACAGAGCTATATTCTTTTAAAACGTATCAACATCTTTTGAATAGAAACAAAAAGGGAAAGCAGTGCTTTTCTTTTGCATGAGAAAAAAGTCTATTCAAGTGTACACAATGAGAGGCAGACACCAAACTAAATGACTTCAAATTAGATTGCACAGCAAAAATGTTACAGTCTTATAATCCTATATTCAAATGAAACTTCAATTTACAGAACAAATCAAGCTGGGATTGTTTGTGTTTTGATGACGTTATCCATCATCTGGGGTATAAAATACATGTCAAGAGTTATGGATTGTCAGAATAGATTATTTTCTACCTGTTTAGCTCATATCTAAAACTGTAGCTGAGGGCCATCTCTGCATACTAAACTTGTTAAACCGCCTGACAAACCTGGCAAATGTGAGTCTCAGTGTTCAATAGCATTCCAGATATTAAGGATGCGGCTGCTAACAGGCCTGAACAGGTAGCCTGTGCCCTTGGGATAGGAATATTTAGCCTGCTACTGCCAACACAAGATAATATCTATTTCACTTGTTAAGGAGAATGCTTGACATCTGTAATTAATGCTCCATTGGTTTTTGCTGCAATATTATTTTAAGGTACATTTTCTAAATTTGGGTTAAAAGGGAGTGCATTTCAGCTCAATTCGATTGAATTATACTATTCAAAACTGTTAAAACGTCTTCTATACTTCCGATGAGAGTGTCCTACAGTCATGGCTGATGTTTGTGTCTCTCATCCACACTTTGTTGCAGGTGGACATCAGCTGGTCATGGCTGGGTTTGGCACAGCTGGGACCTCCCCTTGAACCCTAAGCTTAATGTCCCCACGACACCACAAGGGGGCGCACTTGGACATTCAAAGTGATGTGAGACAATTTATCTCCCTATTTTATGTGCTAGAACAATGAAAGAGTTAGTCAGAAAGTTTCAATTCAATGTACTTTAAATGTGGTGTCTATTGCAGGATACATCTCAATCAGTAAGCTGCATCTTTAAAGAAAGGTATAAAACAATGCTTTTCTTTTTGACAAAATGTAGAATATTAATTTAGTGATAGCATTTAGTCTAATTTCTACTTTTTCATAAACAGATTTGTCTTCTCTTGAATAGAAAATCAATATGAAGAATCAAATTGGTGCCAGGTAGATGTTCTCCCTCATGGCCACCAGGGGGAGACATAGCTGTTCCCTATAATAAAGGATCATTAGCTGGACGCCTTGATGGAACAATATGTACAACGCCCCACACCGTTTTTCATCCCATGTCTAAAAGAAAAGTTAACTTAACCTATTTTGATTAACCAACATGCATTCAAAGTTTTAAAAGACACTAGGGCGACTACTTTAAAGGTATTTTTCAAAGCGAGAAAACTTTTGTCTGGAGAGAAACTTCTCTCTTTCGGAAACTAATCAAAGATAAAACAATTGTATCCTTGGAAAAAACGTGAAGAATCCTCTGCATGAGCTCGATCCGTTGAGATTTATTCTGCTTTGAGCTGTCTCCAGGTTGACCTTCATGTAAGTCCCAAACAAAAGCCAAAGCGCAAGATCCTCAAGCAATGGGACCCAAGGAAAAAATATCCATCACAGAGAAAGAGCAGATATTCAAACTTACATTGACATGATCCTAGGTATGAAGTTACTGCAAGCAGCAACAGAATCCGAGTATCCACAAAGCTGAGCATGTCTACGCAGACATGCAGACTCCTTGTGCTGCTAAATCCCTGTTTTTAAACCTCCTTCAAGCAGGCATACAGTTGAGGTGACACGAGTAACTCCAAACTGAGCAGAAACCTGCAGTCGTGATGCTAGAATAATAAAGTTCGAACAGGCCTATATATACGGCAGGAGGGTCCCTGGTCTGCGTGTCAAAAGTCAGCCCACCGACCAATGAGAGAAGAGAAACCCAATCTGACTCCCATCCCTCTCCAGCTCAGACTCAGTCATGTGGTGCTGCATCTCCCAGCCTCCTCTCCACCAGAGCCCGTTTGGCAAAGCTTTGGCGATGATGACGAGTGCAACGTTTTAATTAGATCCATTCTTTTTGAGGACGTGGACAGCGTCGGGGTTTAAAAGGGAGAAGAAGGCCTACGTTTTTTCCTTCTTTTACGGGTGGCAGTGAATCCGGAGTGTCAGTATCTGAGATACGGAGGCCAGGCATTCAACCTTGCGTGCAGTAGGTTTGTGCGTAACATGTGCCCGTTTTGGGGCGCGTATTGGGCATCGGTTTATTCCGAAAGGTCCTGTGTTTTCTCCAGTTTAAGGGATTTTATAGGGAGAAATAGCTTTTAAGAGTGGAGGATCATCTATTGAATCGTTGTTGAACTACCGGACGAAAAGTCTATGCTGTTTTTACGCACAGATATTTTTAAACATTTCTTACATCCCAGTCTTATTTTTCAATTTTGGAGACACTTTTGTGTCATCTTCACTATTCTGGGTATTATGTGGCTTCCATCAATATATCCACAATGCAGCCAAGCAGATTGTTATGATCTAATCATAATTAGTTATCATCTGTAGCATTTACTGTGCAAAATCTTATCAGTGGAATGCAGAGTTTTATATTCAACATACTCTGCTGCAGCTTTAGACTGAAAAAAGTTGAGTTCTAGTTTCAACCTATTTCTCTCTCATGCTCTCTCTCACACTCTCTTTGAGCAGCTCTTACCTGCCCACATGACCAGACATGTAATCTATTCTACTTCCCCTCCAACAACACTCAGCATGCCCCCTTAACTGCCTTATATACAGTATATCATTTCAGTGAGTAAAGCACACAGCATAAACATATTCCTAAATCTAAACAAATGCAGTGATGCACTGAACACTTCCAGTTAAGTTTAAGCATTTATTGAAGACTATAGGATAAGGCCACATTTTATTCTAGCCCCAGGAAAAATGATCACAGTAAGAAAATGTCCTAATGGCCCCAAACATTTTTGAAAACCTGTCCTTTAAACTCCATAATGTTGCTTGCTATGATGGCATAATCAAGTGAATTCAGTTCATGATTTGTTTTAATGTCTCTTTCCCTATTCTGAAACTAACAAATATTTGGTATCATATTTAAAATAAGGATGATAGTTGTGACCTTTCTATAATCACTAAGACATGCTTACCAAAACGTTCTCTACATTTTCTTTGGAGAGGGGTTTTCTTCAATAAACACCTAAAGGAATGTGTAAGGCAAAACAGTACAGTTAGAAAGGAATAGGACCAGCCACGTTGATGCTCTTCTGCAAGTAAGAACACTTTACTGACTTCAATGCAGATTATACAGATGAAAAGCTTCTTTCTGATTTACTTTAGCATTTATTCTGTATGTTGAGACTCCTTTTGCAACATGGTAAAGGTATGTGTATCACTAACTATTTAAGCTCCCCAAAGAGAATATAGAGACAACAGAGGAGGTTCCATCTTGCCTTTGTAACATTATATATTTACAGATATTTCTAGTCAAAATGGGTGCAAAACTCTTCTTTGCTTCTTGCCCACAGACAGCCCCCCCACCATAAAAAAAAAGTAATTGTTGGACACTCCCAACAACTTCACCTCAACTCTTCCCTGAGTCGAACCAGAAAGATAGAAAGACAGAGAAAAAAAGTTGAAGGGGCGGGACCAGCGAGATGAAATGTGTTTTAAAGATGGCAGGGCTCCCACTCACTGCAGAGCTATTCTCATGTTTGCTGAGGAGCTGAAGTAACTGCAGGGACCAGACAGGCGGCGTAGGAAATCAAAGATGGCTGCAAGCTCCACATCATCAGACTTTTTTTCTTTCTTTTGATTCAACCACGTTTCACAAGAAACAGATATGTATTTATGTTTGGGCATATATTCAAAGCCAAAGTTAACTTCAAATAACAGACAAAAAATACCTATAAGAAAATAAAAATCACTTTACTGTTAAAAAAAAGCATCATGAGCATGAAAAAGTGGAATCAGAAATTAAAATAACATAAATACAACTTTTGTTTGAAAGCTCCTAATAGGGCTGAATGAAATACGTTACTGTTGCAAATTTGCATCACAATGACGATAAAACACATCATATTGTGCAGCCTTAGCTCCAAAGCACTCACTGTTATTCGCTGGGTAATAGATATTGCAGTAACCATACTGCAAATGGTTTAATTTGCATTTTTATTAGACAGTAGAGTTCCCAGTAGACAAGGTTAATTGCTACTTCCTTGACATGTGACATGCGAGGCTGTCCTGTGGGCCAATGTATCCCTGGGAGAAGAGAGGTGGTTTAGGTAACCCAATGCACCTGCAAACTCTTGATTTTGTCAAGTTTTTGAAGTCATTAGAATGTATGTTAAAGCTAGAGAAATTGTCTGTGTTCTCAAACAAATGGTAAGCAGGTTATCTGGTAACTTAAAGTGGACCTATCATGCTATATTTAAATGATATATTGTAGGGCCATACCTATATAAGGTATATTTATACGTTTCTGTTTTCAAAATACCAAACAGATCATGCATTTTAGCCATGCCTCATTTCGCTCTATGTGCTGTTTGCTGTCTACGGGTCTGATTCTGCTGACCACGCCCCCCTGCAGGAGAGGTGAGCCGTGCTCTGATCAGCTCGGAGCAAACGCTTGCCTCGGGGAGGGAGAAAAAAAGCATGATAGGTCCCCCTTAAGTCACCTAGTTACATTTCTGGTCGTAGTCCATAGTGACCAGAGAAATCCCTGCCATCATAGTTTATTGTTCATTTAGCCATGCTGTTAATAATGAAACAAGACATCTCTAATGGTAAAGGTAAAGTCAGCAAAATCGAAAACGAACAAGATTTATTCCTTTCCACTTCTTAAGATGTTAAATACCCCCGCCATTTTGAATCCTACATCTTTCTCCTCTCCTGTGCTGTCTCCCTTAGTGCTGCCAGCTGGGTCTGCAGACAGATTCCTCCAGATGTGCTGCACTCTGATTGGCTTGTTGAAGTTGTTTCCTCACTCACTGACGCTCATATTTCCATACTTATGCGGAAGAAAGCGCTAAGGAGGGGGATCCTCTCATGTCAGAGGTGGCAGTCCACCTGTCTGCCAGCTGGTAAGGAAAGTGGCACACAACGAATAACTTGGTATATTTGATCAACAGCTTTATGCATGGATGAAAATGCATAAATCTTTAGTCATTGACAGTGAAATATATCTGATGTTATCATGACATATTAGGATACAGAAAAGTGCAGTACTACAAGTTCACTTGAAGTCAGTATCTTTGTCAGTAAAACAGAATACAAATGTTTTTCTGCAGGGATTATAATTTTGTCTGGGAAACAAAATATGCTGTAGCCTAATGAAATACTCGTCAAAACACTTGATATTGCTCTATAAGAACCCTTCCCTTTAATAAGAGTTTAAGGGTAACCCAAACATACCAGGAAATTGCCCCTACATGCACGGAAGCATTCATTATATTTCTAAATGCGTTCATTATGGTTCTTCAAATGTTTGCTTCAACTTTGTGTACATACTGTATTGGAACATTCAGTATCTTTGCTTCTTTTAAAGCATTTTAAGTTGGATTATCTAATTCTGAACAATGATGTCTGTGCCTGATATGGGTATATGTGGCCCACACACTCAGACACCGACAGCTGTCTATATGGGAAGTTTCGAGATAGAGCAGAGAGAAAGAGAGAGTTGGTGATTAAAGAGGAGGGGCGCTCACACACACACCTATAATCCTTTTACCGACTGAAGCAAAGAGAGAGACGACAGAGAGGAGAAAAGATCAAAACATGATTGAAGGTTGAAGGAAGCAGAGAGAGATATAGAAAAACTGTTCAGACACACTGCCCCGTGTGACACTCACACAGAGAGAGAGGCACTAATTAAACAGGGCAGGCACACACACACACACACACACACACACACACACACACACACACACACACACACACACACACACACACACACACACACACACACAGACACACACACACACACACACACACACACACACACACACACACACACACACACACACACACACACACACACACACACACACACACACACACACACACACACACACACACACACACACACACACTGCAGCAGACATGCAGGGGCGGTTGAGGTTTTCAAATTACAGCTTATCCTATATTCCAGGCAGTTTTTCTCTTTCTCTTCTCTGAACACTTGCAGCAAACTTTCCACACAGAAATACTGTCGGAAAACGACGACTGTTTGACGGTTTTGCTATAATGAATAAATATGTCTGGGATGTGGAGTGTAGGGTTGTACAATGACACTAAAGTTGCTGCAGATTTCTTAGATCCTGGGACCATGAGACATGAGTGTTTTGCTGTTCACTCAATATGGATTCAATGGCTGACATGGTGTGGGTTTTTGGCCACCTTGATCTTCGTATGATATGGCAGAAGCTGGTTAGCTTAGCACAAAGACTGAAGGAACAATCTGTCCAGAGGTAACAAACCCTGTCCACCAGTACCTCTAAAGCTCAACAAATGAACACATTATATATTGTTTATTTAACCTTTACAACAAATATAAATACGACACATTGTAGTGCTTATGTGTCCTTGGAAAAAGCTAATCTATTTCCTCCTATTTCGATTCGTATTGCTAAGCTAAGCTAAGTTATCCAGCATCTGGTGGTATCTTAATATTTACCACACAGATTTTAGAGTTCATCATCTACCATCTATTTCAACTCACTTCCAGAAAAAGTCAATACGCTTATTCCTTAAACTTCATGTTAAATTTGTGAAGTTTGTGAGTGTTACTCTTTAACCTAGCTGAGCAGCGGCCATTGTTGTCAGCGGCCATTGTTGTCAGTGGTAGGTATCCATT